CAAAATTCTGGAACAGATCATAAAGCGGTCATTGTGTAAGCACCTAGAAAACAATGCAGTAATAACTAGAAGCCAACATGGATTTGTCAAGAACAAACCCTGCCAAACTAATTTGATCTCATTTTTTGATCAAGTAACCTCCCTGATAGACAGAGGAAATGCTGTAGATGTAGAATATCTTGACTTCAGCAAATCTTTTGACAAACTGCCCCATGATATCCTGATTAGCAAGCTAACTAGGTGTGGGCTAGATAGATCAAGTGTCAGGTGGATACAAAATTGGCTACAGAATCGTACTCAGAGGGTGATGATTAATGGATCCTTCTCTAACTGGGCAGAGGTAATTAGTGGGGTACCTCAAGGCTCAGTCCTGGCCTGGTGCTCTTCAATATTTTTATTAGTGACTTGGATGAGGGAGTGCAGGAAATGCTTGTCAAATCTGCAGATGATATACCAAATTGGGCGGAATAGCTAATACCGTAGAAGACAGAGACAAGATTCAAAATGACCTTGATAGGATGGAGCCCTGGGCTGAAAGCAACAGAATGAGATTCAACAGGGATAAGTACAAAGTATTGCACTTTGGAAAAAGAAACCAGTTGCACAGTTACAAGGTGGTGGATACCCGGCTCAGCAAAATTACTAGCAAGAAGGATTTTGGAATTGTCATAGATCCCAAGCTAAATATGAGCCAACAATGTGATGTTGTTACAAAAAATGTAAATGCTATTTTAGACTGCATTAATAGAAGTATAGTTTCCAAATCCCATGAGGTGCTAGTCCCCCTTTATTCAGAACTGGAAAGGCCTCACCTTGAGTATTGTGTCCAGTTTTGGACACCACACTTCAAGAAAGATGCTAACAAATTGGTACAAGTTCAGAGGAGGGTGACAAGGATGATCGGGGTCTGGGAACCATGCCTTATGAGGAAAGTCTGAAAGAAATGGGCATGTTTAGCCTTGAGAAAAGAAGATTGAGGGGTGATAGGATAGCACTTTTCAAATATTTGAAAGGCTGTCATACAGAGGAAGGGAAGTATCTGTTCTCGATCATCACAGAGTGTAGGATACGCAACAAAAGGCTCAAGTTAAAGGAAGCCAAATTTTGGTTGAATATCAGGAAAAACTTCCTAACTGTTAGAGCAGTATGACAGTGGAACCAGTTACCTCGGGAGTTGGTGAGTACTCCAGCACTGAAGGATATTCAAGAAAAACTTAGATAAGCACTTGGCAGATATGCTTTGATTGTATTCCTGCACTGAGAAGGGGGTTGGACTTGATGGCCTTGTAGATCCCTTCCAACTTCACTTTTCTAATATTCTATGATTCTAAAACACCCACTGCGAGAGTATGATAATGAGGGGGCAAGGAGGGAAATTCAGAGCAATTCCTCATCAGGAGAATGGAAGGTGTTCCACATTGACGTCAAGGGAAAATACAGTGCTGCTTCGTCCCATCCTATTTCATCCCTTTACCACTGAGACAGCTCCACGCAGTTCTGATGTCTTTGAGCCAGAAACAAACATTAGAGATTAGCACATAATTAAAACATGAAAATCTGTAACTAATGAAAGCATTTGAGTGTCATTCAGGAGCTTCTTCCACCTCTAGGAAAATGCAAATTTACTTGCTTTGTTTGATGATTGCAAGATTTAAACTTGGAATTCCTTTGAACTTTCATTACTCAAATCAGAAACAATTTCCTCATTCAGCAAATTCTCTGCAAAATTAATATTCATTCAGTTGTAATTGAGCTACCTCTAATGTCTGTTTCTGCCTTGTGCCTATATTAGCTATCAAATAGACCATTTTTATATTCTACCTGCTCTTTTAGCTTTCACATAATATGCATTGTTAATTATTGTTAAACTGTATGAGTACCATGGCAATTATGCAATTGTCTCAAAACGTTATCAGTCAGAATTTGGTAGTTACAGATAAGAATTAGAGATTTAATAATAAAGTGGCCAAATACTGCACTGCTGCAATAGCTTGCCACAGTCTCCTGACCACATATGTTATTTGAGTGCCCCCACCTCTGTTGGAGATGTCTTCTTTAACTTACGTTCTAGGAGAGTTGGGGTGGCATACAGATTGTTATATGTATCTCCTAATTTCATCCTATATCATGTGACTGCTGTGATGTTTTAAAAGCTTTTACATCCTTCAATACAGCAGGCTAACTTAGAACTTCTTTTTAACTTTAATATTGTAAAAGAGCCAGATGGTGCATTGAGGGTGACGTGTCTTGACCAATTTCTCTGATATTATGTGATTTTATCTAAGTAATGTATTCTTATCTTTCTGGTTGTTGACCGTGATAAATTATCATCATCATCACCATCATCATCATCACCATCATCATCATCATCATCATCATCATCATCACCATCATCATCATCATCATCGGTATATCATGGAGTTGGGGGCGCAGAAAGAGATAGGAAAAGTTCCTTTAAAGAAAAAAATACATCTGGAGTATTGGACCTATCGTGGCCAGTGGCTATGCTGACTTAGTATTCTGAGAGGCATTGTTGTTGTTTAGTCATTAAGTCATGTCTGACTCTTTGTGACCCCATGGACCAGAGCACGCCAGGCCCTCCTGTCTGCCACTGTCTCCCGGAGCTGGGTCAAATTCATGTTGGTAGCTTCAGTGACACTGTCCAACCATTTCATCCTCTGTTGTCCTGGGAAGCCCACGGACCGGCACCGGGTAGTGGACCGGGGGTTGGGGACCCCGGGTGGAAAGGATTATTTCAAGGGTACTGAAATATGTCAGGTCTAACCATGAACTTCATGAAGTATAAAGCAGGAAGGCATATTTCCTATGGTAGAGCAAAGTTTCTAACTTGTTCCCGTTTC